AGGGGGTGGGAGGGATCCCCCCCCACCAGGCAGGAACTGGTAAATCGGGGGGGAGGGGGGTTAAAAGGCTGCAGCTGGTGTGGGCAGGGCAGCCATGAAGGGGATGGGATAGCAAGGGGGGGCATTTGGGGGCTCATGCAGAGCCTCCCATGCAGAATGGGGCAGTGGGGGGCAGCAGGGATCACCCCTGCCCTCCCCGGCCTGGCAGCATCTGCTGAGTTGGTGCTTTTATTTTCAAAGTGCTGGGAACTGGGGCAGGCAGCATAGCCATTGCCAGGGCTGGGAGAGCAGGCAGGGGTGGGCATGCGTGATTCGGAGATTCAGAGATTTGGCAGCAGCTAAATCTCTGAATTAGATTCAGTCAAATTGATTTGGGACAGTGATTCGAATCACTAAATAAAATCGCTGCCCCCGAAATTGCCCGAATCCGAATTTGAAGCAAATACTAGCTGCTTTGCACAGGCCTAATATTCAGCTTACTGTCCACTGTAACCTCTAGGTCATTTTCTGCAAAGCTGCTGCTCAGCCAGTCAGTCCCCAGTCTGTCCTGGTGCATGGGTTTCCTCTGTCCTAAGTGCAGGACTTTGCACTTGTCCTTGTTGAAACTCATGAGATTCCTTTTGGCCCAATCCTCCAATTTGTTTAGGTCATTCTGAATCCTAGCCCTATCCTCCAGCGTATCTACTACTTCCCCAAGCTTGGTGTTATCTTCAGACTGGCTAAGGGTGCACTCTATGCCATCTTCCAGGTCATTGATGAAGATGTTGAACAAAACTGGCCCCAGGACCAACCCCTGGGACACTCCACTAGATACCAGCTGCCAGCTAGACATCGAGCTATTGATTACTACTCTCTCAGCCTGATGATCCAGCCAGTTTTCTATTTACCTTACAGCCCATTCATCCAGCCCATACCTCCTTAGCTTGCCTGTGAGACTGTTGTGGGAGACCATATCAAACGCCTTGCTAAAATCAAGTTACACCACATCCGCTGGTCTCCCTGCATCCACAGAGCCATCATAGAAGGCAGTCAGGTTGGTCAGGCATGACTTGCCCCTGGTGAATCCATGCGGACTGTTCCTAATCTCCTTTTTCTCCTCCAAATGCCTAGAAATGGATTCCTTGAGGATCTGCTCCATAATTTTTCCAGGGACTGAGGTAAGGCTGACTGGTCTGTAGTTTCCTGGATCTTCCTTTTCCCATTTCTTAAATACGGGCACTATGTTTGCCCTTTTCCAATCATCTGGGACTTCTCCCGATTGCTGTGAGTTTTTAAAGATGATGGCCAGGGGCTCTGCAATCTCATCAAGCCAACTCCCTCAGCATCTTCGGGTGCATCCCATCTGGCCCCATGGACTTGTATATGGACAGATTTTCGAAATAGTCCCAGGCACAGAAGACGGAGCTGGAGGACAGAGGCAGTGCCATGTCAAGGCCTGTTCCTGCTGCCCGGGATGCCAGTGTATGGGCTGGGGAGCACAGCGTATTTCGCACAGTGAGTCAGGTAAGTTGCAGCTCCGTGCTCCGTGGGTGCTAGTGCCATCCCCCACACACGGAGGAGCTAGGGCTTGGGGGCAGGAGGCAGCGGGTC